AATAAAAAAAAAAAAAAAGAGAGAGAGAGAGAGAGAGAAATGAAAAAAGAGAGTGGTGGTTGGTTGTGGTGTGGTGGCGGTGGTGTTGTCGTTATCACAACTAATTGCCGCTAGATTTGTTGCCGTCAGCACCGATTTTGTGCGACCGGCTTATCGTCGTTCGAGTACGCAGCAAAAATCGGCACATCGATGGCAAGAGACGTTTCCAATCGCGATATACCATCGCCGTAGTAACGATGATATTGGCTAACCAACAAATTGTGCAGTTTATCATTAGCACGGCTAATTCTGAAAAAAAAAAAAAACTAACGACGCCGCTAAGAAAACAGTTATCGGGCCTTTTCTATCGCGCGGCTTAAAAAATTGTCCCGTCGAAAACAGCAGGAGAGATTGAATTGATAGAAGAGAAAAAATCTATGTACAATAAAAATAGAAAGTATACATTGTCGTCGAGATGCGAAGGTATATATATATAAAAAAAATAAGCCGTACGTATCACACGATTTTTCACATAATTGCAATATATTGAATTGGTAGAAAATAATTAAATTCTATTACATACTATAGGATGTAATAGAAAAGACCCCAATTATTTATTGTTTTGTGCTATTTACGAGATCTTTTTAAACTACCACTTGACACTCATGCAGCTGGATCGAAATGATTGAAATATTCGTTTCATAATAAATTATTATGCTATATATATCGCTATTTGTACGAATCCCTTCGGTCTTCTATTTCAGTTGAGAAAAAAATTTCTCAACAAATTACATATATAGAAGGCACATATATAATTCTCCTACTAAATTAAAGCTCAATTAACACTATAGGGAGGTCATATTATTCAACTTTAATTAAGGCAAGGTGCTAAATTAGGGAAAGTATTTTACACTCTTGTTGGATCGAAACGTAGACTAATATATTCTAGTTGGTTAATTGATCTGCGAAAGTAATTAATTTTTAGCACTTCTTATCGGTCATTTAAATTGTCGAGTTCACTGGCGGAAGGCGCGAAAATCGAGTTAATTAGATCGGCTTGTTTTCTCAAGAGAAACGTAAAGCGAGAATAGTGAAAGTGTGTCCACGCGATGCGCAACGAGATACGCGGATACACG